ACTTAGCACCCCTACATACGTACGCATAAACACACAGGCACGCACGCACACAAGCACGCACACACACAGGCACACGCACATACAATATACACTTACCTATTGAAGCAATTTTTTGAAACAAATATATATGTGAAAACACTGATGAAAATAGGTTAATTCTCGAATGTAATTGATAAGAGCCTTCAATTGTTAAACGATGAAAAATTATAAATTAACATTCACCTTTTCTTCTGCTTTCCTCAAACATTTTGTTCTCCATATGTTACACAAAACTTTCAATCGTAAATGGATGGCAAGCAGTAACATTAATTTGTTCATTCGGTAATTCAGAAGCTTGGATATTCAATTTTTTGTGCTCCAAACTGCAATGCATTTCGTCTATTCTGTAGCTCTTGAGTGCGGCTTGCAGCGCAGCGCACAGTGCAAATACTTACAAACCAACGCACTTACATTAATTCGTAGCATCATTTTGTTAGTCACAACCGTTAGAAAGATGAATGTGTATATAATTGCGCTATCGCAGTTGTGCTTTTTTTTCTTCTGTTACATCCAATAAAACTTCCCGACAATTGTGATGATGAGATGAAGAATTAAAAGCTGCCAGCGAAGAGGAACGTTCAGAACAATCCCCTAACAAACAACTAGTAATTTGCAGTGAATAAATTAACTGTTCATCAAAACGCAATCAAACGATACTTTTGTGTGCAAAGGAATTAACCATGAAAACATTACGATATTTAACACGAACTATAACACAAACATGAAAACATGAACACGGGAGATGGAGACATGTGGAAGAGGGCAAGTCAGAAAAGGTTAAGTTAAATATTAAATGCAAACAACAACACAATGCAACAACAGTAACATAAGGTTACATCACAACAAAACAAAAACAATACAACAACATACAACTAAGAGTAACACACAGTTTAAAAAACGGCAACTGCAACAACCAACATAAAAAATGAAAAATGAAAGTGAAAACCAGCGAACACCTTTCAAGTGAATCCTCCTTAGCATCCTATCCTGCGACTCAACCTTCAGCAAGCAGAATTACTTTACCATACAATACAAATTAACTCAAACATGATCAAATGTCAAGAACTAACAATTAAGAATATTTGCTGACGGACACGATGACGTCATATAGG